TCTGACATACTTTGGACATGTTGTAAGGAGAGACAGGTCTTTAGAGAGGGACATCATGCTGGGTAGAGTGGAGGGACAGCGCAGGAGGGGAAGACCCTCTTTGAGGTGGACTGATTCAGTGACTGGGGTACTCGGGATGGGTGTGTCAGAGGCATTGAGATTGGCACAGGATAGAGCAGGGTTTAGGGCTGTTGTACATAGGGTCGGTATGAGTCGCAAACGACTCGACGGCACATAACAACAACAACAACATATATATTGAACAACGTTTTTCCCTCCGTTATGAAGTTAATATTCTTTTACAAGGGTTAATATGAGTGCAGGGAGCTCTAGTAGCCTAGTGGTAAGAAGTTGTACTTCAAACTCAAAGGCACAAAGTTTGATTTCAGCAGCTGCTCCGTGGGAGGATGAGCTGCTCCTTCTGCAAGATTTACAGCCTCTGAAAACCCACTGGAAGGTCAGCTAGGAGTCAGTTCTGACTCAATGGCAATAACAGCAATCTGAGTGCACATGTTCTTTTACATCATAGATTTTCTCTGGCCTCGTAGTCCTAAGGAAAATATGCAACCATCCAGATCTCTTTTCTGGTGGTCCTAAGAATCTTGGAGGTCTTCCAGATGATGAAGTAGAGAAAGATAAGTTTGGATACTGGAAACGCTCTGGGAAAATGATAGTCGTTGAAGCTTTGTTGAAGATATGGCACAAGCAGGGCCAACGAGTACTGCTGTTTTCTCAGTCAAGACAGGTGAGTGCACAGACTTCAGGTAAGAAACAAGTTGGTTATGATTTACTATTCTTAATTCAGAAGATAAGTGACAGCCTACAGACCTCTTTGTTAACTCAGATCTTCTTTACATATAGTCTTAGAAGCTGGCTTCTTAAAGATGCACTGTTCGTGTTTAAATGAATTTGGACCTAAACTGAAATACATGCCAGGCTATTGACAACACTTGTAAGAATTAGCATTAGGGAAATACTAAATATATTCTAAAACCTGTCTCAAAACAAGAAATCCTCTTTAACTTAAAGTGATCTGGGGAAGATCTGACTGTATTGACACACATGTAGAAGCATAGTCCCTTGGAGTGGTTTTGGGTTTTTTAACTCATCTCTCTCTCCTTGCCCCAAAGATGCTGGATGTACTTGAAGTATTCCTTAGATCCCAAAAGTATTCTTATCTCAAGATGGATGGCACCACTACCATAGCATCAAGACAACCACTGATCACAAGATACAATGAGGTAATGAATGAATGTAACAGGAAAGTCAGGTAATGCTTTTTACACAGAGGAAAAGTACCTGGCTGCTGTAAATCATTAACACAGCTGACAAAAAAAAGAGTGGGTCCACGGGTGCATAGAGGCATCCTGAAAGGAAGACTTAGCAGTTTCTTTCTGTAAGTCAGCCATCAAAAACTCTGAAGAGCACAGCTTCACTCTGATATGTGTGAGCTGACCGTGAGGCCAGGTAGACTCCAGAGCTGTGTTGAGATTCAGAGGAAAGGAAAAGTAAGTCCACACCAAACTGAACAGTGTGTATAATTGGGATTAAACATGACTTGAAAAGGATAGTTTTGTTTTTAATTTGATCCCTTTCTGAATTTTCCATATTATTGGGATTTGGGCATGCACATGTACATATTTGGACAGAGAATATGTATTCCTGCTTTAAAACACAGTTTGTAAATGTTATAATCATTAGTGACACTAAAAGGGATAGCTGTGAGATGGGTTCTTGATTTGCCAGAGGCCTCTAAAAAGTAACTGCTTTCTCTGCGAAGGTTGCCACGTATTGAATATGTAAAAACAGATCAGGAGCTGTGTCTTAAATATACATATTGCATGTGTTATGTTGTCTCCAGGATGTATCCATATTTGTGTTTCTTCTGACGACTCGTGTGGGTGGCATAGGAGTCAACCTGACAGGGGCAAACAGAGTTATTATCTATGACCCCGACTGGAATCCAAGCACTGATACACAGGTCTGCTTCTTTTTCAATATCTGGTCCTTTTATTTGTTTCATATACTTGTGATTGTCTTTTAATATTTACATTAGCTTTAATATGCAGCTGAATCTTTGATTATAATCCACAGTCTTTATCATGATGGAAAACACCTTTCAGAATCGTACAGCAGTTTTAGAAGTTTTCCAAAGGCTTCACTGCTGTTGCTCTTATTTTGTTGCTAGGTGCTGTTGAATCAAGTACAACTTACAGCAACCCTATGAACAATAGATCCAAACCCTGTCCTAGGCTCTGCCGTCCTTATCTCTGACACACTTGATCCTGTTGCTGCAGCCACTTTGTCAGTCCAGCAGGATGGATTGGGAATAAAAAAGAGAGTATGTTAAGTTATAGACACACATTTTTCCCCCTCTTAGGTAGAAATGCTGTAGTTATCTTTTTTGGCCTGCTTATCTTCCTCCATATAAGTCTTTGATGTGGTTGGCCTCATTAGCCAAAATTATAACTTGGGGAATGATGAGAATCTACCAGGTACATTCCTTTCCTTTGAAAAATGTTTGCTAAATTACTTCTCTCTGCCATAGGCTCGTGAGCGAGCATGGAGAATAGGCCAGAAGAAGCAGGTGACTGTGTACAGGCTTCTCACTGCAGGCACCATTGAAGAGAAGATTTACCACCGGTCAGTACTTGGTGTTTGGGCTGCTTTCTGGTTTTCTGGCATTAGGCTGTCAAGGTTTGGAGTGAGGAATATTTTTGATGTGTTGATTTTAAAACGTCATTTATATAACAGTATTATTCACCATTGCAAGAACATGGAAATAGCCCAAATGTCTAATCACAGTTGAATGGATTAGGAAATTATGGTACATTCATATAATGGAGTATTATGTAGCATACAGGAGCAATGATTTTGTAAATCACTACCTAACTTGAGAGGGACTGGGGAGCATCATGCTAAATGAACTAACTCAGTCCCATAAGGATAAATACTATATAAGACCATTATTGTAGAATGTGTATGAGGATTCATAGTGGGGATGGGTGAGGGTAGTATTGTTAGATGTCACTGAGTTGAGCACTACTCATAGCGACCCTAAGAACAAAAGATCTGAACCCTGCTCTATCCTGCACCATCCTCACACTTCCTGAGACACAAGAGCCTATTGCAGCAGTCACTGTATCAGTCCACCTGGTGGAGGGTCTTCTCCTTTGCCAGCCCTCCTCCCTTCCCAACATCATGTCCCTCTCCAAGAAATAGCACCTCCTAGCAACATGTCCAAAGTAGGTGAGGTGAACCCTCATCATTCTTAGCTCCGAAGAACACTCAGGCTGGTCCATCTCCAAGACATATCTGTTTGTTCTCTTGGCTGTCCATGGGATGGTCAGTACTCTTCTCCAGCACCACAGCTCAAAGGCATCAGTTCTTTTACTGTTATCTTTAATCATAGTCCAGATCTCGGATGCATAGCTAGTAATAGAAAAGACTATGGCCTGAATCAGGCACACCTTTGAGGACCTTATCAGTCCTCAAACTGACATTACTACTAGTCAATAACTTGGAAAGGTCCCTCCCTAACTGCAGATATTCCCAGTGCAGTACATCTTCTTGTTTCCTTACTGCTTGTATCGAGGATGTTAACTGTGGATCCAAGCAAGATGAAACTGTTTACAGTTTTAATCTCCTCTCCATCTATCTGAAGCTTCCTTGGCTTCTGTGATTCCAAACACATCAGCTGCTGATAGTTTCTTGTGTTGTGACCAGTGTCTCTTAAGTTTAGTGGTAATGTTTCCCAAGGGAAGATGATGTGTCCTGGGGCCCTTGAATCCCACTGAGCCTTCAAGGTTATCTGAGAAATGGGCGGAGGGTTTTATGGTCCCTTTAGCTTGAGACTAAGGTGTGTCTGATACAGGCCATGGTCTTAGCTATCACTTGTTATGCATTAGAGAGTTGGACAATGACTAAGGAGTATAGAAGGAGAATTGATGCCTTTGAGCTGTGGTGCTGGAGAAGAGTATTGAGGGTACCATGGACTGCTAGGAAAACAAACAGATTCATCCTGGAGAGGGTTAAACTGGGCAGCTCCTTGGAAGCAAGGATTCTAAGGCTCCGTCTAACATACTTTGGGCATGTTGTTAGGAGAGACCGGTCCTTGGAGAGGGACATCATGCTTGGGAAGGTGGAGGGACAGCGCAGGAGGGGAAGGCCCTCTGTGAGGAAAATTGATTCAGTGACTGGGGTAATCGGGATGGCAGTTCCAGAGACAATGCGATTGGCACAGGACAGAGCAGAGTTTAGGGCTGTTGTACATAGGGTCGCTATGAGTTGCAAGTAACTCAACGGCACATAACAACAGCAACAACAATATCTTAAGACAAAGTTAAGTATTCTAATGAAATATGCAAGGAGGAGTTAGAAAACCAAAATGCTCTTCCCTTTTGGCATTTAAGCTAAAAGAACTAAGAACAAATTGAAGGCTTAATTTGCAATTCTGAACTATTTTATGAACAAAATCCTGAATTATGCATGAAACATTCAAAAAGGTAATAGGAATACATAGTACTTAAAAGAACTGGTGATTAATGGAAACCTAACCATTTCAGGAAATAGCAAATGATCAGTGATAATGAAAGAAGTTCAAGCTGAATTGAAGGCATTAACGAAAAATAAGATCCCAAGAATGGATGGAATACCAACTGCCTTATTTCAACCAACATATGTAGCCCTGGCATGCTTACTAGTCTATGCCAAGAAATTTGGAAGACAGCTACCATGCCAACTGACTGAAAGGGATCCATATTTATTCTCATTCTAAAAAAAGGTGATCCAGCAGAATGTGGAAATTATCAAGCGATATCATCAATATCATTGTTGTTGTTGTTAAGTGCCGTTGAGTCACAAGTGACTCATACTGACCCTATAAAGGAGAGTCCTCAACACTATCAGTATCATATGCAAGCAAAATCTTGTTGAAGATTATTGAAAAACAGCTGGAACAATGACAGCTAAGTTCAAGAGGTTTAAGGTGGATTCAGTGAAGGTCTTGGAAGGAGGTATATCATTGCTAATGTCAGATGGATCCTGGGTAAAAGCAGAGGATACCAGAAATGTGTTTTTTTACTATATGAAGGCATTTGTGTGGATAGTAACAATTTATTGCAAACATTGAGAAGAAAGATAATCCCAGAACGTTAAACTGTGTTCATATGAAATAATACGTTGACCAAGAAGCAGTTGTCTGAACAGAACAAGGGAACACTGGGCGATTTAGAATCAGGAAGAGGTTGCATCAATGTTGTATCCTTTCTCCAAACCCATTCAATCTGTGTGCTGAGCTAATAATTTGAGAAGCTGGACTGTGTAAAGAATAGCATCAGAATTGGAAGAAGATTCATCAACTACCTGCTTTATACAGGTGACATAATCTTGTTTGCAACAGATGAAGACTTGAAACATTTACTACAGAAGCTCAAAGACTTCACCCTTACATATGAAAAATTCTGCACACTGGACTGATGCATCATGTTAGATGCAGACATTTTCCAAGTATTTCATTTTACTTGGCTTCACAGCAGTCAAGAAATCAGATGTGTTGCATTGGGAAAATCTGTCAAGAATTTCTCGAAAGTGCTTAAGACCAAGGATGTTCATTTAAAGACTAAGATGTGCTGCCTCTTCCAACCCTTTCAGGTGCTTCATTGCTTCCTGTTCATCTCTGAAAGTTGGACCATGTATAAGGAAGACTAAAAAAGAATCATTGCCTTTGAGTTGTGATGTTGGTGCCTTTCAGTTGTGCTGAATAACTATGACCTGTTAAAAGAACAAACACATTTGTCTTGGTAGAAGTGCAGCCAGAGGCCTCCCTAGAACAAGGATAGTGAAACTTCTTCACACAAACTTGCCATGTTGTCAGGAGCGGCCAGTCCTTGAGAAGCAGCATCCTGCTGGGAAAGGTAGACTGTCAGTGAAAGAGAAGATGACCCTCAACAAGATGGATTGGTACAGTAACTGTAAAAACAGGCCCAAACATATTGGAGATTGTGAGGATGGCACAGGGTAGACAAGATCTGTTGTTTACAGGGTTGCTATGAGTTATATTAGCTGAATGACATCTAACCAAAACAGCGGCATTGAAGCATGCCTCCTTTTTCAGAATATATTTTTTTTAATTTTTTTCTATAATTATATTTTATTAATTTTCATAAACATTTACAGAGATTTTGGGCTTCCACTCATTCATTGTTGCACAGAATATATTTTTAAGTGGCAAACTTGAAATGTTGGTATAGGGTATGTTCATTTACCACTCAAGTGTAATTGGTATTCATACCATAGTGGTCCCAATGCCATTAGAGAGAAGTTAATCAGTAGGGACAGCTGCTTTATTGCTCCATCTTTCTGAATAATGATTAGGGAATTTTAGACAGTGGTGAGTTCAGCAGTGGTTTTATTTGCCATCAAGTCAAACCAACTCATAACTGATCCTCCAGAGAGTTTTCAGAGGCTATAAAGCACACAGGAATGGATTGCTCATCTTTTTCCCCCAAAGCAACTGATGGATTTGAAATTCCTGCATTTGGATCAATAACACAAATCCTTACCACTAGGCCAGGCCCTTAGAGCTCCCAGTAGAGTCAGGGTATCACTAGATTCTCCTTTTCTCCATCAAATGTGTTTTTGAATGTGCTCAAGCTCCTCATTTGAGGGTAGGGGCACCTGCTGTACACAGGCAGCTAAGCCATTCTCGAATTGTAACATCTGTTGAAGACCCTTGTGTGAGAGATGGGTTGGCTCCTGTTGGAAGAGAATTTATCTGAGTTTTAGTTTAAAGAATAAGCAACTGGGAGTGGCCTGGACTGCTTATTGGAGAAATTTGTGCAAGAGTAATGGTTGTGTGGCATTTTTGACATAGAGAGTAGCTCAACTGGTTGAGTCCAAGAGAAACTTTTGAAAGCAAAAGTGATAGTTTTCTGAGCCCAACCTAAGAGACTTCCTGGTAGGGTTGGGCAGAAGGGGCTATGGCCAGGAGTTAGAAAAAATTTCACCTTTTGGTTCAGCAGCTGTGTACTGTGGTCATGTAAATGGTGTTTCTTGGAAGTTGAAATCACTCGTAGAATATAAGTAATAAGAAGTTATATCTACTTTAAATTCTTTAGCACATGGAATAGTATCTCCTGTGCAATGCAGTTCCTAAATTGTCGTTTTTCAAAGGCTAAATATTTTGAGGTTATTTAGACACTTATACAACTCAGTAACAGTTTTCTTACACTGTTTTATAACTCAGATCTTGAGTTGCATTGTCTCATACTAGCTTTTCCCTCCTTTTTAGACAAATCTTCAAGCAATTTTTAACAAATAAAGTGCTAAAAGATCCCAAACAAAGAAGATTCTTCAAATCCAATGATCTTTATGAGCTGTTTACTCTGACTAGCCCTGATGCATCCCAGAACACTGAGACAAGTGCTATTTTTGCAGGTATTACATAAAATAATTTAAAGTAATAAACCTTATAGTTATGCAAGATAACATTAGCTATGGGGTTTTTTTTTTATCTTTAAAGGAACTGGTTCTGATGTTCAGACACACAACAAACGCCATTTAAAAAGAAAAATTCAGCCGGCCTTTGAAGCAGACCATGATGCTCTGAAATGCAGTATACCAACAAAGGCTAATATATCTACAAGTGATATATTATCTGAAGAGAAATCAAAATCTATAGGAGCTGCAGTGCATACAGTAACTTCTGATGACATTGATCCTTTGAAAGATAACTCTCAAACAAGGAATAACCTAATTAGCAGCAATACACTTTTAGAAGAGAAATATTTACAATTAAATGCTGTTTCTCCACCAGAGGAATCATCAATAATTAGTGGAAACAGAAAATGTTTAAATTCTCCAAAAATAAGTGAGACACCCAGTGAAGAAGGTGATGATGTAAAGCAGGATCTTTCTGGTAAAGGGCAAAGCTTCCAGAGCCAGACAGAGACTTTTTCAGAGAATAATTACTATAAGCACAAGTCAAAAACAAAGCATCAGAGTGCAGTAAAAGATGAGACCCTGGAGAAACACTTGAGACAGAAAGAAATGCGTAAGTCCTCTAAGCATCGCAAAGATGCCAAGTTTGAAGGAACTCGAATTCCACACTTGGTGAAGAAGAGACTGTACCAGAAACAAGACTGTGCAAAGGAGAGTGAAGCAAAGGAGTGGTGCAGTGATGATTATGTTCTGGAAAAGCTTTTCAAAAAAGCAGGTAATCCTTTTGATGCATTTTTCCATAGATGACCTTTAAACAGTAATAAGTATTTCTATAAGTAGCATCCTTTAATGATGACACCACATGGAATCTAAACAGAAAACATTTAAATGTCCAATATTGTATGTATTAGCATTTTGAAAATTATAATCTGTTTTCTGAAGGGTTAGAAAGAATTTGAAACTTTGTACTTAGAATGCTAATGAGAGTGCTGAGTACTTTAAGATGATTTATGCTACCTGAACATTAGTAGCTAATTTCTATACAAGCTATTTTTAACAGAAATAATAAGTAATTCTGTGCTATTTAATATTTATTACATAATCTAATATTTCTAACTAGTTACTGTATATTATATATAAATTTACTTATTCTCTGTTTTTCCCTGTCCTCATACATACTGGAGGTTCCTTACAATAGTCAGAACTGTCTTGAGTAGCAAAAGAATAAGCTAAAATTCAGCCCAGACTTGATTCAATGACTCCTGCGTAGTTAATGGAGATGCCCAAGGCTTTTGTTCTTGTTCACTTGTACACTTGTCAGAAGCAGCAGCCAGTCATTCAAATTCTACATTTTTTTAATTGATTTGCTTACAAGCATTATGTTTTACCCTATTCTCCATTCACCTTGTGTTTTATACAATCATTCTCATGCATTATGTTTTAAAAATTTTCCAGATGAACTCTGTTATCTAATTTCCCTGCGATAGTAAATTAACACGTCACAGAAAGTAACATATCAGTGAAAAATCACTGACCCTGCCCATGTTTTTGGCAAAGATGAAGTATTTGTAATTCTCATATGTTCCTAGTGGTTATGTAAAGTGATATAACCATTTTTTTAAAACAGTTTCCCAGTTTCTCAAAAATACATTTTCTGTACTGTTTGTGTGTGTGTGTGTGTGTGTGGGGGGGGGGGTAATAAAAGAAATAGAAATACTTATCCCAAGAAAGACTTGTATATAAGTGTTTACAGAAGATTTATTAGCAGTAGACAATTGGAAGCAACCCATTATCCATGAACAGGTAAATTGTTAAATTACCGTAGTATTGTATCAAGATCAAGGACTGCAGCCTTTAGTATGGAGTACATCTAGACATCAAGAAAATAGAAATCTTCACCACTGGGCTAATAAGCAACAACATCATGATAGATGGAGAAAAGATTGAAATTGTCCTTGATTTCTTCTTGCTTGCCTCAAAAATCATCATCTTTGGCACTAGCAGTCAGAAAATCAGGAGACATATTGCATTGGGCAATTCTGCTGTTAGAAACTTCTCCAAAATACTGAAGAGCATCAATACCACTCTCAGGTGATTCAGCCCATGGTCTTTTCAATTACTTCCTATGCATCTGTGAGCTGGACAATGAGTAAGAATGATAGAAGAAGAATATCTTTGAAATGTGGTGTTGGAAAAGAATACTGAATATCTCATGGACTGCCAAAAGAACAGATATGTCTTGGAAAAAGCGCAGCCAGAGTGCTCCTTGGAAGCAAAGATGGCAAAGCTCTTGGTCTCTCATACTTTGGACATGTTGCCAGGAAAGTCTGTTCCTTAGAGGGAGACATGCCTGGAAGGGTAGAATGTTGAGGAAGGAGAGGAAGACTCTCAGCGAGATCTGTAGATACAGTGACTGCAACAATGGGCTCAAAGGTGCCAGACTTGATAAAGATGGGACAGTCTAGGACAGGGTTGTTCTTGGGTCTCTTTGAGTCTTACTCACAGACAACGGTAACATTGTATACCTCCAATGGAGTACTGGTCAACATGTAAAGGAAATAAAACTCTTTTGTAATAAGTTTATTTAAGTAAATTATTTTCATAAAGTTAAATAAGTTTATGTAAATAAGTTTTTTTCTGTAGAAAGAAATATTAAGACATACTATGACATGGATGGATATCATTCATGGGAGGAAAGGCCATTACAGAGAAGAATATATAAAAATGGATGTCAGGAGATGCTCTGAAACTTGCGCTGTACTGTAAAGACACCAATACAAAGTGAAGAAATGGGGGAAATAAGAGAACAGAAGCTTTCAAAATGCATCTTGAGAAGACAAAGCAAATATTATAATGAAATGTGCAAAGAGCTAGTTACTCTTTGTACAGTGTACCCTGCATTTAACTTATAGCCATAAGTTAAAAGAACTGAAGGGCAAATTCAAGCCTTGAGTTGCAACACTACAGAATCCTACCAGCAAAATCTTCAGTGATGCAGAAAGCATCAGAAGAAGATGGAATACATAGAGACACTGTAACAGAGAGAATTAGCCATCACTGACTCATTTCAGGAACTAGGATAAGAACCAATGGTAAAAAAGAAAGAAGTTGAAGCTGCACTGAGGGCATTGTCAGAAAAATAAGACCCCACACTAGGAATTGATGGAGATATTAAGTTGAGATGTTAAGAACTGAGACCTGAAAGCACTCTCTACTCTGTACCAAGAAATATGGAAGACAGCTAGCTGCCTGGCCAACTGAATGGAAGAGATTTATATTTATTCTCATTCCAAAAATGGTGATCTAACAGAGTATGGAAATTATAAAACAACATCATTAATATTTAATGCAAGTAAAATCTTCCTAATGAAGAAGTGGCTGGAAGAGTATATTGACAGAGAACTGCCTGAAATTCAAGCTGAATTCAGAAGAGGCCTGTTGTTGTCAGTTATATGACTCCTACTGACCTATAAACAACAGATCTGAACACTGTCCTCTCCTCTGCTATCCTGAACATCTCCAATACACTCGAGCCTAATCCTGCAGTCACTTTGTCGGTCCACCTGGTTGAGAAGTCTTGCTGTCCCTCAGTCTTCTCAAGCATGATGTCCCTTTTCAAGGAGTAGCCTCTCCTAGCAACAGACAAAGCTTTATCATCTTTACCTCTAAGGAGCACTCTGGTTGTACCTTCTGCAAGACCTATGTATTTGTTCTTTTGGCAGTCCATAGGGTATTCCGTATTCTTCTCCAGCACCACATTTCAAAGGCATATATTTTTCTTCTATTATCCTTATTCATTGTCCAGGTGTCACATGCATTCCAGGTGACTGAAAAGATCATGGCCTGAATTAGGCGCACCTTAGTCCTCAAACATCATGATTCCTCAGTAACTTGGAGAGGTCACTGATTGCAGATTTTCCAGGATAGGATGTCTTTATATCTCCTGGCTGCTGATAACAGGTATATTGATTGTGGATCCAAGTAAAATGAAGTTGTTGAGTTTTGATTTTTTTCTCTCCATCTGCCATGACATCACCTGTTGGTCCAGTGATAAGAATTTTTGTTTTCTTAATTTCAAAATGCAGTCCATATCGAAGGCTACAGTCTTTGATCATCTGCAACAAGCACTTCAAGTCCGTATTTTAAGCAAGCAAAGTTATATCATCTGCATAATGAAAGTTATTGAGTCTTCGTTCAAACCTGTTGTCACAGAGGCCTTAGAAGTAGGAGTATCACTACTGATGTCAAAATTATCTTGGCTTCCCAAAATACTCGAGCACCACAACAAGATAAAGGAGAATAATCCAGTTGAAAAATGGGCACAGGATATGAACAGACACTTCACCAAGGAAGATATTCAGATGGCCAACAAGCACATGAAGAAATGTTCAAAATCCCTGGCCCTGAGAGAGATGCAAATCAAGACAACCATGAGATATCATCTCACTCCAGTAAGACTAGCAAAATTTAACAGAA